TTCCGACTTTGTGCAAAAATTATAAAAATTCCACGAAGTTTCATCCCAATTCCAAACATTTTAATTTTAATTTTTGGTATGCAGTTTTAGGGCCGGTTGCTCAAAGCCTGGTTGACACTAATCCCCGGTTAAACATCGTTATCGACGTTACCGACACCATGTTATTTGCATGGAGCCGAAAACGTCGATAACGATGTTAATCGGTGATTAGTGTCAATCAGGCTTTGAGCAACCGGCCCTAATAGTTTATTCTGGTATAATAAAGTGCAAGTTTAAAGTTGCTAAAAAGTTGCCCCGATTTTTGATATTTTTCTTCCTGACGGTGTTATGCACTCTTTTCCATAAAAAAATTAGTTTCTATGGAAGAAAATGCGTGTTACCATCAGCAAAAAAAAAAAATTATCAAAAATCTATGCGATTTTTTGGCAACTTCAAACTTGCACTTTATTAAACTAAAATTTAATAAAAGTAATGAACCTTAAAAAAGTAAAAGCAAAGTACTCACAACAGGTACAATTTTGATGTTCTATCTTTTGACGCGGAGTATACATCCATTGCTGAAGAGCAACCGCTTTGTCGGAGTCTCAAAAACGTAACCGGCATTCGTCAAATGTCATGCGTAAAACAAAGAAGCTAATAATGTGCAAGTGAAGCTTTTTGTAGCCCAGTTACCTGTGTTTGGTTAGCCTAGAAGTGCCCACCCCTGGTCTAAGAGATGCTGCGTGGTGTTCAAAAGGCTTTTGATGTCGGATATAGGAAACTGTTTTTGTAGTCCAATTACCTGTATTTGTTTAACCTAGAAGTGCCCATCCCTGGTCTAAGATATGCTGCGTGGTGTTCAGAAGGCTTTACATGTTGCACCCTAAATTAAAACATAGTCAAAACTAAATTAAAAAAAAAAAAAGTTTTTCTGATGAAACAGTTTACAGACATACAGGGTGTCCTAGACTACCCGTCAAACCCTTCTAAAATAGAGGAAACTGTTTTTTATTGGATGGGAAACGCAAAAATGTGTACTACGAAGTCGGGGGTGCAGAAGCGGTTTAAATTGACCGGAAGTATATTTATTTAAATAGGATATACATACTGAGAAATGCGTATAATGCGAGTAAAAATACGTAACCTTTGTTTGGAACTTTTTGCTAGGATTTCAAATTAAAAGGTTATGGGGCAGGTATATGATATAATATACGCTACCGGTACAACGGGTATATTAAAAAAAAAACGTTCAGTTAGCAATTCGCCAATGGAATGTCGAGACGTGATAGAAAACCGATACAGGCACGAATGATAAATTCACTCCATCCTTTCTATATACTTCTTAAACGTAAATCTTTTTGCTCATTTACGCATTCCATACCCAGAAAGCATACCAAAAATATGCACATGACGCTAAATTGTATTCACCAAAAGTCTTTTAATTAACACAAGTTGCGCCTAAAAATATGCAACGTGAAAGCCCATAAGAAGCAACATAAACTAGGGTGAATGAGCAGCAGGTTGGGTTACTTTGGAGACGCTGCAATTTCTTAAGCAGCGCTACTATTCGCGGTTTAATTTTTAACTCTAGAAATATCTAAATAAAAGACAAGTGTGCCTAAAGATACGCAATGTCATAATAATGCCAAAATCGGACGATTTTACATTGTGTCTGCTGCGTTCTGCATTCTGCATTCAGCATTCACATATGTATTTAGTCATTCCCTGTTTTCATTCTAGAAATTCGGAGAATCGCATAAAGGGCAGCGATTTTCAAAATTGTAGGCTTGGTGAAAGTTTAGACAGCGGTGCCTAAATATATGCGATGTCATAAAACCTTTCCCCAATACTGCCAGAATTGATTGATTTCGCAGTGTATGTCTTGCTATTTCCATTTGGTGTTGACATATTTAGCCATCGCTGCTTTTTATTAGAAAAATTCAGAGGAATAAATAAAGGGAAGCGATTTGTAAAATCCCATTCGAGGTTTAGTTAAAGCGCTCGTGACATATAGTACTAACGCCTCAAAATATGCAACATGGCATGCATAAACTTCAACTTTACAAATTTTTGATATTTGCTAAAGCATTCATTATAGTAAAAACCGACTCTTAAATAAGAAGCAGCCTTTTTGACAGACTTTGCATTGAAATTATTGAATGCTGCAATTTTTTTTTTAGTTGGATTTATTTTGACTAAAACTATCCTATAATTAAGGTAAGAAATGCAGCTTTCTAAAACCATTTCGATTGATACCCATTTTGTAATAATTGATTAATCTTTTTAAGTAATTTGAATATAATTTTTTAATAGGTGGCAACTTAAAAAAAAAGATATAACCTTATTGCCCGTCTGCATTTCAAGCCTTTTAATTGGACGCCGCATTTTGGGAAAATCGAACGAGCGGTGAGGATATGATTCTTAAATAAGTTTAATTTAATTGTTCAAACAGTGGCAACAATTTTCGAAAAAATAAAACCAGTTTGCACGACTACAGGCCAAATGCTTAAATTTGACACCTCAGTTTTGAAAATCGAGCGAACAGTGCAGATCTTATGTCCTGGACGAAAAATCCCTTCGCGTGTTATATATGTATATAGTTTTTTTTTTTATAGCCAAATGCGTCAACATATTTAGTTACCAATTCACAACTCACAATTCACAATTCACCAGGAGCATAGCGCCTTTTTGTGAGAGAATTTATCAGAAATTCTGCTTAGTTCATTAAAACGTACACAGCAAACTACAATAAACAGAGACACAGTCCCATGTTACACAGCAAGTACACGTAAGTACATACATATGTACATACATATGTAGGTAAATTGCAATTAAGATGAGGACATTTCCGGCTAACACTTATACATATATGTACATATATGTACTTATGATTCTAAGAAAATAACTACAACCCACAAGCAGAATTATATAAAAAACTGTCACTATAAACTTTATACTTTTAACTTTAAAAAACTTGTTGTCATTTATGAATTTGTGCAATATAAAATCATACATACAAACACATACATGCTTATTATTTAATATATGTATGTATAAATAGTAAAATATGCGCATATTGTTTTAAATTAATATATAAAAATATGTATGTATTTTTCTTCATATATGTACATTGTGCATATAAAACAAAAAAAAACTAAATTTAAAAATACTATTTATGATTAAGCAGCAGCAAAAAATTATATGAGTACACTACATACCTACATATGTACATACATATGTGTTCGTTGATAAGCGACTAGCACGCTCTGAAGTAGGCTACGCAATTGGAAAGGGAAATATATTAAATTCAAAGTACTATTTAAAACATCACGCGATTGTGATTAAGTTATAATTATTAATTTTTTGTCTTAATTAACGCTACATACATACATACATGAAATTAAACGTAAAACATTGCTTTTTAGGACCTTAATGTATTACATTAATAACATTGAATGTTATGAAAGGAAAAAAAAAATAATGAAAATATGCTAATTGAAGGAATAAAACAATGACTTTTATTAAATGTTCGAAACTTTAGTACACAAGTTACATGTACATACATTCACATATAGCCATATTCATACAAACATACACTCGTTAAATGCATATAGAAATGTGTGTGTCCTTGCATTATGGTATAGGAACAAAACAAAAACAAAAAAACAAAAATAAAAAAACCAGTAGCAGTGCAGTTGAAAATAACTAAAAAATACATTTTTCCCATTTTAAAATAAAAAATAATAATAATAATAGTGATTTACGAAAACTAATACATATATAAAATGTTATGCAGATTCAATTCAACTTAAAATTCGATTCAATTAACTCAATAATAATGTAATGTAATGAATACATATATGTATAAGTAATAAATTGTAAAAGCGAAAATATATATACAAGCATACATAAATAGTTATATATACATAAATATATGTGAGAGTACTAATTTTAGTAGGCAAATTGAATAAAATGGTAGTTAAAGAGATACGATAAAATTAATAAATGAATAAAGTTACAATTTAAAAAAATAGAAATAAAATAAAACAAAAGTCCCGCATCTCCAAGCATCCACATTTTGGCATAGTCATGTACTACGAAAACGTGCATACATATGTACATACATACATACATATATCAGCAAACCCTTCCAATAGTCCCTAAAATTGACATTCATTTATGCACACAAATATTATCATAGACACTCCTACTATGCAGACATATAAACATTGTGTATATATACATATTTATGTACATTGGCAAAGGAAGTCATATAAAGCAGGGCTTCGGAGCGGAGCAAAGGATTTTGACTGGAGCGGACTGGAGTAATGAGCTAAAAAAAAATCATTTGCTTCTTAGCTCCATAAAGAAAATTAAATGTACTTAATTTTTCTTTTTGTTTTTTCCACTGAAAACAACCGTGTTGAATAAATTTGTATTCTGTTTTTATTAGCAATACTGTTCATTGCACAATGCCTAGCAGTCAGCTACCTTGCTACCATGTCAACCATTTGCATTTTATTGTTGTGAATTTACAAATTGACCGAAATATGCAAATGCAAGCACATATGCACAAGATCGTGAAGAGCCCTAATGACTTCTCAGCCTGTAGAGAAACGTCAATTTTGCCGACAGTGTGGTCTCGAACAATTTTACGTATCCGAAAACGAAAACGAACAGAATACGACTCACATTTCCATTCATTTGGCTGTGCGTGTAGAGGAGCGTGCTAGTGTTTGTTAGCTTTCAGAAGGAGCCGGGTTCGAATGCCGTTGGGCGCTTCCTTACTTTATTCATTTTTTTCCGAGCCATGAAAAAGCATCTGTGAATTGCAAAAGAAAAGCGNTACAATTTTACGTATCCGAAAACGAACAGAATACGACTCACATTTCCATTCATTTGGCTGTGCGTGTAGAGGAGCGTGCTAGTATTTGTTAGCTTTCAGAAGGAGCCGGGTTCGAATGCCGTTGGGCGCTTCCTTACTTTATTAATTTTTTTCCGAGCCATGAAAAAGCATCTGTGAATTGCAAAAGAAAAGCGAATTGAACGAAAAATTCAATAAAAAATTTCCAGAAAAACAGTCCGTCTGTCTGTACATACGTTTCTGTCGCACACTTTATTGGAAAAAAGGATCGTCAAAGTATTCGAAAATGAAACGGACAAAAATCCGCATTTTCTTCACTTTTCTTCCATTTTCGGGTCGGTTTTTTGCTGACTGGGTCAATATCTGTCATTTTATTTAAAGACAAAATGTATTGGGATCATATAAACAGCTGTACATCGAAGTGTATCTAGAATGTATGTATGTATATCGAGCTCTAACCGCGAATTTATTTCCCCCCTTTGGATACAGAAGTGCTTATATGTAGAGCATGTAAATGCATATCTGCATGGAAAGGAAAATTTAAAAAATAATTTCGGTTAATATTTTTTGGCGCTTAGGGAAAGAAATTAAATAAATAAAAATAGGTGCGGAAGCGGAGCTCGGAGCGAAATAAACTACCGGAGCGGAGCGATGAAAAAAAACCTTTGCTCCGAAGCTCTGATATAAACNGCTTATATGTAGAGCATGTAAATGCATATCTGCATCGAAAGGAAAATTTAAAAAAATAATTTCGGTTAATATTTTTAGGGAAAGAAATTAAGTAAATAAAAATAGGTGCGGAAGCGGAGCTCGGAGCGAAATAAACTACCGGAGCGGAGCGATGAAAAAAAACCTTTGCTCCGAAGCTCTGATATAAACATAAAAAACATGCTTACCTACACTTATATGTACAGGTATATTCCCATATTGCTAGCTAAAGTGAGCTTGGTACTTGGTAACTCGGCGTTCGGTAATTTTTCCCCATGTATTTTGATAACTGAATTAACGTGGTGGCAAACCTGATAATTTTTCTGGTAGTTGATAAACTAAAATCAGCCGTTCGATATTTATTCAATTTTAAATCCGCCCACTGTCGAGAGGCATAACGCATATGAGTAAGTAAAATTCATTAAATTTTCTGTTGCAAATAATTCTTATTACAAGAAAAAAATTAAGAATCAACTGTTTATAAAAATAGTTTAACTAATACCGAATTTTCACTAGGCATTGAAATTACAAAAATTGTATGCCATTTAAAAAATGCCATGTAGAAACAGAAATAATTACTTTATTTTTTATGAACGTAATAGCACTGGTATTTCTAATGCGCAACATTCTCATTAAACATTTTGCCATTCAATGTCTAGCAAATTCAGCATAACACTAGTAAGCTGAANGGAATCAACTGTTTATAAAAATAGTTTAACTAATACCGAATTTTCACTAGGCATTGAAATTACAAAAATTGTATGCCATTTAAAAAATGCCATGTGGAAACAGAAATAATTACTTTATTTTTTATGAACGTAATAGCACTGGTATTTCTAATGCGCAACATTCTCATTAAACATTTTGTCATTCAATGTCTAGCAAATTCAGCATAACACTAGTAAGCTGAAAAAGACTTTCATAGTTGATAAAATTACCGAGTACCAACTGGCAGTTTACCAAAACCACCGTAATGGATATGAGGACCCCTTTATATTTTGTTTGTATTTGGTCGTCAATTGTAATATAATATATTAAGCTTTGTTTAGCGCAATGCCGGGTTGATATACTAAATAATGTTCTTTACAGTGATGATGATGACTTCAAACTGAAGTCGAAATATAGACAAGATAAACTCAACTAAATAGTCACCAAAGTTGTGCCCCAAGGAATACAAATAGTTTTCATCACATTTATGGAATATGATTCGTTTGGAGTTCTTTTAGTTTATGCGCAATCTTGTATAAAAATGTTTGCAAAATAAGTGCTTGGAGAAAATGAGTTTGAAAGGTTTTTATTCTCTCCTGTAAAATTTTAAAACTAGTTTGTTCAACTTTTCACTCCAAGCTAGCGATGGGACATACTATATTTCTATATTGGGATAGTTTCATGTGTCATTAAGCGCTCATTTAATATATACATATATATATTTGCATACTAAATACACACTATAGACACTGAATACATACATAGGTTCATATGTATAGCAAAAACTGCAAATCAATCATTTGATCGATTCATTCGAAATTGGAATGTAAACATAGAAAACATATATCTACTTATTTACAAATGATAGGTCAGTTTGCTCATTGTTTTTTTAACTATTCAACTTCGTTTGGCGGCCTCAAACATCAATCGTCTTGTTATCGATTTCGAACAAAATGTCAGTGAGGGCGAATATGAAAATCAGTGGTGCGCAAGTGCTCCATACAGTGCCGCCCAACAAAAAAACCGGCAGTGCTGCTTCAGGCAGGTTAGGTTGGGAAGTGGATGTAGATGCACTTAGACTTAGTAAATTAACTGTCGTTTTCGTAAGACAAATGAAAGACAGAAGCCAAGATATGTGGTTCGAAACACTTTTGTTATTGTAGTACAAAAGCCTCAGAAAAAAGGCTCTCTCATTCACCTCTCGTGGTGAAAAAGTATTTTGATATTGGCCGAGTGAGCAAAGCACAGGCATGCTAATCGAGAGATCAGAGTTCGAGTCCTCGGGCAGTGGATTTTTTTATTTTAATTTTTTTCTTTTTTATCCAATTTTCTTTTAATTCTTAGATTTTAATAAATTTTTTTGTAATGTTTCTGAGTTTTGTGCCACGATTTATTTGTTTAGAAACAGATGGAAAAAAGCAACACAGTGTAAGTGGTAGAAGTTATAGCTACTTTTTCGGAGATCACCACATTTCCTCATCAGTCTTCTTTTTTTAGACTTAATTAGGAATCGATCCCGCATTATCGATGTGAAAAGTCATCGGCGCTAACCACTGTGTCCTGCACACCCCGTAAACTCTTGATTTTATGTAAATATATAAGATTTTAAGAAAAATATATATTTTTTAATTTAATTTAATTTTTACAAACCTATTTTATGTAATGGCTTTTCTCTCTTAATTTAATTTTGTTTTAAGTTTTAGGTGTTATTCTTTTGAAAAGAAGCATATTTTAATTTAACTTCATTTTTAGACACTTTTTCCTTTTTTAAATAATTTTTTCTTTTTTAGTTTAATTTTCTTTTAATTTTTAGAATTAATTATTTAAAAAAAGAAAAAAATGTTTTTTATTGCATTTGATTTTTTGGGAACTTATTTTATTTATTTTCCATTTTTTAATTAACTCGTTTTCCTTTTGTTACAATCATTTTGTTTGAATTTTTCGATTTTGTTGTTTTAAAAAATATTTCATGGTTTATTTAATTTCATGATCTTATTTTGATTTTTTAAATTTGGATTTTGTTTTAAAGTTAAAAAAATATATCTTTTTGTAGTTTTATACAATTTTTAAGTAGTATTTTCTACTCTGTTGATTATTATTTTTTTATTTTTCTTATTTAATTTTTAGATTTTATTGTTGTAAGAAAAAAAATATTTTAATTTCATTTAATTTTTAAAAATTATTATTATTTTTTGCTATTTTTCATATTTTTTTCTTTTATTGATTAAATTTTCTTTTATTTATTCCGTTTTATTGTTTAAAAAGAAAAATTTGTTTTTTTATTTTAATTTAATTGAAAAAAAAATTTATAGGTAAAAGGTGAACATCATAACGCTAAGCCCTTCTCGTAAGCATATCTTTCAATTAGTAAGTAAGTAAGATGGCATCCAGCAAAATCGGTTTATTTGGGGAGTATTGAAAAATAGGTGGTTACTCGGGTGAAAAAATAACCATATGCGCATTGTCATACAAAGATGATTCGTTATTTCAGGCGAGTTAAGCTGTATTAGACAACGCCTGCACAGAGCTTCTTACCATAAAATCCTGAACGATTCGGCCCAAGTTTAAGCTGTCTATTAAGTGTAGGTAACCGTCGGAAAAATAGTTTGCATTATACCGTAAGTGCACATTAACTAAGCTATAGCTGTCCTTAGGGCTGATCATCTAAATGACTTGTGAAGTATTTTAGGGGAGTTCTAGAGCCGAGTTCCGATAGTAGAAAATTTAAAACAAAAAACTTTGGTATTTTGCGAATTCTCAGAGGTTTTTAATTCACAGATACAGACCAAAATTTAAATATGTCTCTTTATATTGAAAAATTCACTTATTGAAGTGTTACTAGTCTATTGAAGGTATTCATCTAAATTTGTTATTACTTTTGCTGTAAAGGTGTTTTTATTTCCAGTTTAAGTTGTTACGATGCATTCTTCTAACGCCCATTCACTCAATACACTCAACACACACGCGCACATATTCATGGCAACATTTGCGTAAGTTCGCAGAGCATCTTCATACATACAATGTACATAGAATTGCCATAACGGTAATCATTTGAACAATTAAAAAATCTACAGTTACTACAAAATACAAAAAAAAAAAATTAAATTCTTCGCATTCTCGTTCGCATCTTAAACAAAAATCTTTTAAATGTCAAAACAGATTGGACCAGAATGAATCAGACAAGTACAAGAGTTTATGGAGAGTCATGTCACATTCGCTCATCAAAATACTAAAAACATACAAATCGCTAAATACAGACAACGTACGGCAACGCAGTTTCAATGCCTTAAGACAACAACAACAAAAACGAAAACAACAACGATTAAAATATCAACAACACTGAACTACTATAACAGTCGTAAATCACAAAATCCCTATCGCCAACTAAATTCGATCAAAGCTATCATCACAACCATCTACCACCAGCGCCACCAATATCACCACCACCCTTACAAGAATCTTCATCAGCAACATTAATTGCATCTATGTACATACATACATATACAGGTGAACATCAAAATTGAAAATCACATCCGAACCATTTCAATTGAGCGAGGAAAAAAAATTGAAACTTCATTGAAATTGAAGAATTAGACAAAACGAAGCGAAACAAAGCTAAACTAAGCTAAATGCAAACAAAAAACAAAATTAGCGAAAAACGATACAAAGTTAATGTACTGGATCTGTGATATGTAATTAATATATTAAAAAAAAAAACATATATATATATATATTGTATATGAAACTTATTTAAGCTAATAAAGCAAAGTCAAAGACGACGATCTAAACGAAGCAAGTAACGTGATAAAAATGGGGCATAAGTATGCAAATGGCCACTTGAAATCGAATAAACGTGCAAGGTTATGGTTAGGGCGCCAATGAGCTCAGTGCAGAGGATGAAAGCAAAAGAAGGGCTGGAGTTGTTAAAGGTGAAAATGAGTATGCGAATGAGTATGCGATTTATATTAAAATGCATCAAATGCAGTCGAAATGCGATATTATTTAAAAAATGCAACAAAACTAAATTATAAAATTTTTGTGCATAATTACGTACGCAATTGTGTACTTAACTAAGATTGCGCATGATTCGATAAATTGTGTGCATATTTAATTAATAAAGTATGAATTAAGAAAAAAATAAAAATAAAAGCATCTTCAATAAATCTTACAAAAGCATACATATTTAAAATTACACTAAGTAGTAAACTTATTTACACATAACTATATACGTACAGACAACATGCATATGTATTACATACGTACATATGTATTTGAATGGAAGCAAACTAGAAATATGTATATTTGAAACAAAACATTATATAAAAACAAAAATTACAAAACAACAAATACGAACTTTTAATGCTGTGAAGAAGATCGATATTTCATTCTACATATTCTTGCACATAGTAGCTCTGATCCAGTACTCCATAAA